AATAACCTTCTCCATTAACTGCTGAAGAGAGAAGAGGTTGGCTTAAAATGTTATGACACTGTAGAACAATGAGTTGAAATTGGCTTAAGGGAAATCAGTTTTGTCTCAGTGATTCCTATTTTACTTACATACTCCACAATTCAAGATATAATTAGATCTTAGCTTTTATCCAGTCATACTAGGATAAATAAAACAAAATCCAGGACTATGTAGCACTTTAAAGACTAACAAGATGGTTTATTAGATGATGAGCTTTCGTGGGCCAGACCCACTTCCTCAAATCAAAGGATTTGATCTGAGGAAGTGGGTCTGGCCCACGAAAGCTCATCATCTAATAAACCATCTTGTTAGTCTTTAAAGTGCTACATAGTCCTGGATTTTGTTTTATTTATCCTAGTATGACTGGATAAAAGCTAAGATCTAATTATATCTTGAATTGTGGAGTTGCCTTTAAAAGTTTGCACAAAACCTCAGAATGATTTATTTGGGACTCGGAGAAATGTAATATTAATGCCGTGATTGTGTATGATTTATTATACCAGGGGTTCCTTCCCAGACTGTCCATTGTGTACGTTATGTCTATTTTGAATCCTCCCCACCCTCACCATTTCACACCTGCAGACTTTAATTCACTTTTGTGTGCACTAGAGGGAGGTATTATCTAATGGTGAGAACAGAGGATTGGAGTCTGAATAATTTGGTTCCCAGCTCTGCCAGTGACTTGTTCTGTAGGCCTAACACTTGAATTTTGAGTGTCAGTCAGTTCAATGGGAATGGAACAATTCCTTCTTGCCTCACAGAACTGATGTGTGGTCCAATTAATTGATGTTTGCAAGATATTCTAACACCTCCTCATGAAAAGGATATGTAAATGCAAAGTTTTATATGAAATTATATTTGTACCTAGTATGCACTTTGAATTGAAGGTGAAGTGGCTTTTGAATATTACTTTATCCTTAGACTTTTACCTCAGTGATTGGTTACACATGACTATGGGAGAGGTCATTTGACTTACATCATTCAAAATATTATTTAGTTAACTAATTCTTTGTATATGTGCCTACAGATTTTATGATGCATAAATTTTTATAAATCAATTAATGTTTGCTGACTACATATTCTAAATGGCCAATTCTTAACTCAATCCTTCTTTAAAAAAAAGGGGGTTGGGGGAATAGATGTCACCATTAACATTTTGGTTGCATGAAATATTATGATAACATGTGCATTCTAAATTTAATATTTTCTAGGAGCAATTAAATCACATAGAACCAGACCCTTTTTCCCTCCAGACTTATCTGCTTAATATTTTATATACCTAAGCTAGTTCCAAAGCAACTGTATTGATTTGACTTAGAGTACTTGAAATTTGCTCTTATGTTCTGTCCATTTGCATTGTCAGTTGGTTCCAGTTCTTTGGTTCTCAAACATAGTTTGATGATTATGGGAAAGAAAAACTTAAACAGTAGCTGTCAGTAATGTTTTTTAATGTTCTTGTGTCAAATACTTAGACATAATCATCCTGAGCCTATGTTATACTACTGGTGCCATCAATAATACATTAGTTGAACACGAAGGGTAAAGTATGACAAACACAGCAGATTCCATGGAATCATAGTAGTAACACAATTATTTTAAGTGTTATGTATTTATTGCCATAAAGTTGACACACTCTACTGTTGCAAACTTTTGCTTTCAGTAGTTTTCAATCGATAGTAGTTGATATTAGCACATCAGTATTTTATATTGGAGTCAGTGCACCCAGTGAAAATAACAAAAAGTAAACTATACATCTTTCAGGTGCTTAAACATTATATAGAATTACCCTACAACTTTTGTGTAGGAAATACCCTGCAAAGAGTCATACACAATATTCTAACATAAAATATAAGAACTGGCAGGAAAAGAGAACACCAAAGGAGAAGAGATTATAATACTTTTTTTATTTTGTATTACCATAGGCTGCAGTCATGGTCAGAGCCCTATTCTACCATGCTCTGTATAAACAGATAAGAAGACATGACCCATGCCTTAAAAATCTTGCAGACTAAACATCACAATTAGCATTCTGTCTTGACAACAAAGAAATAGTGCAAACTATCAACTACAGTGAGATACCCTTATGGGACCAATCTCTGTAGACCGTGCTCATATCTGCCATAGATTAGTTTTGGGCTACTGTGATATGATACTAAATCTACCAACTACTGATGGTGGTGAGGTGGCTGTAAAAGCATATTATTTTGTAAGTCTTTCTACTCACTTCAGATGCATGTGCATGTGTGTGTCTGTGTGTATGTGAGCATACACACATAGTTTTTACTCTATTTTTTCTTACTTATATTGCTGTAGCAGTAAGTAGCAAATTCTTACAAGTGGTTCACCTGTCACAATGTACTACTTTCATCATTTGAATCATTGGTGCAACAGCTCGCATATTCTGATGGATGACTGACACCTGCCAAAATTTACTACCTACTGCAAGATGAGACGTAGAGAAGATAGCAAATTATAATAGGAGGAAGGCTCCTATCATAAATTATTGCCTCCTGTATCAAGAATACAAATGGTAAAGGTAGGAAATTCTGACAGGAAAGTGACACCTATCAGAATTTCCTAGAAGCAGTTTCCTTATTTTCCAACATAAGGGGATAGCACCAAGAAGAAGCATCACAAAATACCTCCCAGCCAGCATTTGCTCCTGGCAGTAAAATATGATGATCCCGGGTTAAATTATTTTTCCAGCAGTTCCCACTTGCAGCAATGGAAAAAATCTTATGCCATAAAACCTGACCCCTAGCACTAAACAATGAATGTAAAGTGGGCTGGAGTGGTGACGGAGGCACCCAAGAATATCTTAATGTTATATGTAATAAAAATGCAGGTGACTGAGTCCATAGAAAAAATCTATTTATTTTGTGACAGAGCTATTTTGTGTCACATGCAAAATCTGTTTTTATTGTTAATAAATAGTAAGACGTTTTTCTAACTGGTGGTAAGTTAAAATATTGGCTGGATTTAGGGAAGGTAAATAATATATATAGTATCTCTTATTTAGCACTTTTTTATCCATAGAAAGTGACCGCATGGCAATCACACAGATGTCCCACGAACTAGGAATAGAACTTAGCTGTCTTCATTTTCATCCTCATTCCTTATCAACTGGACCACAGTGCTTGGAAGCCAGAGAAGCCCACATAATTAGGCGTTCACAGCTCAGTGGGATATAAAAGCTGAAGCACTGTGAAGTTCTAAAAGATTGTTGATTACGGTTTCCTTGAAAACTTCAAATGAAATTACAACAAAGTGATATAGTTTTGCTAGTTTTTTGTTTAAACACTGCAATGCTCATGTCTTACCCTAACCAAAGTCTGTGATGTGAAAGTTTTGTAAACATTGCCTTTATTTAAAAGATTTCCAGACTCCCCCAAGTGGATAACTAGAAAATGTATCAGCTATGAGTATAATGAAAAACTCTGGCGTGTTATTATTAGTAATAAACAAGCAGAACTCCCTTCCACGAAGCTGAATTCCGGTCTATGTCAAATTTTCCCATTATCTGCGCTGTAACAAGTGTTCTTCTCTCAAGAGTGAAAGATTGTTTTCCTTGCCCAGCGCTATTTAATTTCCCCCTTAGCACAGGGGTGTTTTATCGGTCCAGGAAGCCTGGATCTGTTTGTAGCCGGATAAAAGGGACAGTGGGCTAGTGCGAGATGGCTGGTACCTTTTGTGTATTTAGGAAGTGGTTGGCACGGGAGCAGTCGAAGCATGGATCTAGGCTTTGTCCAATATGAGTGATGCCCTGACTGTGACTTGAAGCGTCCTGGGATGTATACCAATTCCAGCCCCTGGAGGGGCCAGCAGAACCCAGAGTGACATTTGCCCTCTACCCGGCACCGCCATCCGTCTGCAATTTGTATCAGCCAATTAGGGCGGCCCTGAGCTAGAGGGAAATCAAGCTATAATACAATACAGCCATTGAAGGGGTGGTCCCCCGGCTTCCCGCTGGCTGGTATTGATCCCTTTAAGTGCCCGCTAACAAGTCCCGCCTATCCTCAGGAAGATCCACGTTCAGAGGAGCTAGCGGGGAGAAAGCAGCCCCCGGCACGCCCCCGCCCCCAGCGCCGGGGAAGGGCAGGGCCTT